AAAAAAAAAAAAATATATATATATATATATATATATATATATATATATATATATATGTATATTGGTGACTATATTAAATTGGTATGAATCTATTTTTGCCCTCTTTTATTTACAGGCCTACTGCATCGTCGGTTCCGGCACACCACAACCGACTTGCTCTCTTATACTAATCTACTCCTATACTTAACTCTTACTCCTTATATGGCTTTTGCCCCTAACACATGTTTCAAGGCCGGTTGGACTGTAATTGTGGGAGGGGCTATGTGTGCTTCCCTACTTAAAGGAAACACTTACCTTACTCCAAACCGTCGGAGGTCTAGTGATTTGCATGGCCCTTCCTCCACTCCCACTACACAACATTTCCCCTCTCTTTACCCTTAGGTGGGCCCTCTTTTATTTACAGGCCTACCGCATCGGCACACCACAACCGACTTGCTCTCTTATACTAATCTACTCCTATACTTATCTCTTACTCCATACATAGAGTTTTTGCCCCAACACAAATATATATATATATATATATATATATATATATATTTGTGTTGGGGCAAAAACTCTATGTATGGAGTAAGAGATAAGTATAGGAGTAGATTAGTACAAGGCTAAATAGGGCCCTGGGATGATATATATAAATAAATTGAAAAAAATGAAAACGTAATAATAAAGTTAAATAGAATAAAAATGATATACAGGTTTAAATTTGTTCTAACTGTATTTTGATATTAAAATACAGATATATTTAAATCAAAATACATTTAAAATGACGTTTTTAAATACATATATGTATCGTATCTATCTATCTACATATATATATATATCTATATATATATATATATACAATAGAAAATAAAGGGAGCACATTAGGACTTCTTCTGAGTGGAAAAAAGTAGTATTTACTGTATCATAAAATAATACATATCCTGTGCAAAGTACAGAAAATCAACGTTTCGACCCTGATCTTGATAAAGACCCCAGGAGGGTCGAAACGTCGATTTTCTGTACTTTGCACTTGATATACTCCTTCAGTGAGTGTGTGTATGTATATATATATATATATATATATATATGTGTGTGTGTGTATTTATATATATATATATGTGTGTGTGTATTTATATATATATATATGTGTGTGTGTATTTATATATATATATATATATATATATGTGTGTGTATTTATATATATATATATATGTGTGTATTTATATATATATATATATATATATACAGGGAGTGCAGAATTATTAGGCAAATGAGTATTTTGACCACATCATCCTCTTTATGCATGTTGTCTTACTCCAAGCTGTATAGGCTCGAAAGCCTACTACCAATTAAGCATATTAGGTGATGTGCATCTCTGTAATGAGAAGGGGTGTGGTCTAATGACATCAACACCCTATATCAGGTGTGCATAATTATTAGGCAACTTCCTTTCCTTTGGCAAAATGGGTCAAAGAAGGACTTGACAGGCTCAGAAAAGTCAAAAATAGTGAGATATCTTGCAGAGGGATGCAGCACTCTTAAAATTGCAAAGCTTCTGAAGCGTGATCATCGAACAATCAAGCATTTCATTCAAAATAGTCAACAGGGTCGCAAGAAGCGTGTGGAAAAACAAGGCGCAAAATAACTGCCCATGAACTGAGAAAAGTCAAGCGTGCAGCTGCCACGATGCCACTTGCCACTTGCCACCAGTTTGGCCATATTTCAGAGCTGCAACATCACTGGAGTGCCCAAAAGCACAAGGTGTGCAATACTCAGAGACATGGCCAAGGTAAGAAAGGCTGAAAGATGACCACCACTGAACAAGACACACAAGCTGAAACATCAAGACTGATTTTTCTAAGGTTTTATGGACTGATGAAATGAGAGTGAGTCTTGATGGGCCAGATGGATGGGCACGTGGCTGGATTGGTAAAGGGCAGAGAGCTCCAGTCCGACTCAGACGCCAGCAAGGTGGAGGTGGAGTATTGGTTTGGGCTGGTATCATCAAAGATGAGCTTGTGGGGCCTTTTCGGGTTGAGGATGGGTTGAGGATGGAGTCAAGCTCAACTCCCAGTCCTACTGCCAGTTCCTGGAAGACACCTTCTTCAAGCAGTGGTACAGGAAGAAGTCTGCATCCTTCAAGAAAAACATGATTTCATGCAGGACAATGCTCCATCACACGCGTCCAAGTACTCCACGGCGTGGCTGGCAAGAAAGGGTATAAAAGAAGAAAATCTAATGACATGGCCTCCTTGTTCACCTGATCTGAACCCCATTGAGAACCTGTGGTCCATCATCAAATGTGAGATTTACAAGGAGGGAAAACAGTACACCTCTCTGAACAGTGTCTTGGAGGCTGTGGTTGCTGCTGTACGCAATGTTGATGGTGAACAGATCAAAACACTGACAGAATCCATGGATGGCAGGCTTTTGAGTGTCCTTGCAAAGAAAGGTGGCTATATTGGTCACTGATTTGTTTTTGTTTTGTTTTTGAATGTCAGAAATATATATTTGTGAATGTTGAGATGTTATATTGGTTTCACTGGTAATAATAAATAATTTAAATGGGTATATATTTGTTTTTTGTTAAGTTGCCTAATAATTATGCACAGTAATAGTCACCTGCACACACAGATATCCCTCTAACATAGCTATAACTAAA